GTTGGGAGTTTGGTAAGAAATTTATGAACTTCATTCATGATCATGAAGTCAAAATATAAAAGAAGCTTAAAAGAGGAGAGAGGTAGGGGAGACACACCCAGAAAAAGGGAAAATAGAGGTTACATTAGCACTTCATGTCTCCATATAGTTTGTTGCTTTCGAAGAGGAAGTCAAAGACTGAGGCTCACTTGGGTAGTGCCCATCAACTTTGAAACTGACTCACCTGATTTTCAACCGTTTGAATCTTTCATATCAATCCAAATAGTCCACGGGAAGCCAGCCCTTATCAGAGATACGTATCCATATCCATATTTCAAGGGAAAAGAAGCTGGTCCAAAGAAGTAAAAAGGAAATAATTGGTCCACCATAGAAGCTTCCAACGTCTATTTGCGGGGAAAGGTCATTTGTTTTGCTTGATTTTCTTCCCCTTATGGTATCATCTCATTTGCTGTCTTGAACTTCTGTAGTTGGTGAGTTTTTGTTATTATGCCTTTTGATCTGTGTTTTTGACCACTCCACGGGTTTTGCCTGATTTCCCTCAATTTCACCTCTTTCCATCGTATAAAGGTCATGAGGTTATTATTATCTTCCCAATTGCTCTGTTCTTCGCGTCCTTGACTTCCTTTCTCCTCTGCCATCTGGGTTGTCTTCAATTTCATTTCTTGAGTTTTGATATTTGTGATTTGTGTTTTTTTTTCTCTCTCTACTGGCAGGATAAGCATCTCCAATTTGAACCTAAAGCTCTAGGTTTGAGTGAGTTTCAAGAAATGAAGTGTTTTTCCTACTTCAAGGACAAATCTAGAGGAAGGGGGCAAAGATCAGCCCCAGTATTAAAGGAAAACGGGAAATCAGATGACTTTTCACCAGGGCCTGGTCGCATGGCCAAGTCTTCTTGCTCAGAGGCTTCTCCACGGGGAATACCAGAGTTATATGAAGAAAAGGCTCATAATTTGAGGGTCTTCTCCTTCACAGAGCTTAGACGTGCCACAAATGATTTCAGTGTGCTTCTTAAGATTGGAGAAGGCGGTTTTGGGAGTGTCTATAAAGGTTCAATCAAGCCTGCCGATGGAAAGGGAAATCCTATGATGGTTGCCATTAAAAAGCTTAACACGCATGGCTTGCAGGTATGTTCTTGGTCATAAGAATATTGTACGGATGCGCTCAAGAACCTGATATGTTTAGTGGAAATTACGTTTTAATGAATCTAGTTGTGGTAATAGAAAGATTCTACTGCTCCGAGTAATCCAATGTTTCCCTGGTATCCATTTAGGGTCATAAACAATGGGTTGCTGAAGTTCAATTTCTTGGTGTTGTGGAGCACCCAAATCTTGTCAAACTTATAGGCTACTGTGCTGTGGATGGAGAAAGAGGGATCCAACGACTTCTTGTGTATGAGTATATGCAAAACAGGAGCTTAGAAGATCATCTTTTTCGTAAGGCATATCCGGCTGTTCCATGGAAGAAAAGATTGCAGGTAATACTTGGTGCAGCAGAAGGATTGGCTTATTTGCATGAAGGACTGGAAGTTCAGGTGAGTTTCTTATCACGTTGTTTGTACACAGGATCTAGGTTTAGCTTCTCTGTCCTTAAATCTTTTTGTTTTGCTGATGATGCAAGGTTATATTTAGAGATTTCAAAGCCTCCAATGTGTTACTGGATGAGAATTTCAATGCAAGGCTTTCAGATTTTGGGCTTGCAAGAGAGGGACCAGTAGCTGGGCAGACCCATGTTTCAACAGCTGTTAGTATTCTCTATGCTTATTTAGTGACTATTTAAGGCTATTGTGATCTACTTTGAGATTATAGTTTACATCAGGATATTCTCATGGGAGGATGGTTTTTCCTTGTGTCAGGTGGTGGGGACATATGGGTATGCTGCTCCAGATTATGTTGAGACAGGCCATCTCACAGTTAAGAGTGATGTATGGAGTTTTGGCGTGGTACTATATGAGATTATCACAGGCAGGCGGTCACTAGAAAGGGGCCTCCCAAAGGCAGAGCAGAGGCTCTTGGACTGGGTGAAGCAGTTCCCTGCTGATAGTAAAAAGTTCAGGTTGATAATGGATCCCCGGCTGGAAAACCAGTTCTCCATCAATGCAGCCCGAGAAATTGCAAAGTTAGCAGACACTTGTTTGTTAAAGAGTTCTAAGGATCGACCAAAGATGAGTCAGGTGGTAGAGAGATTGAAACAAATAATCCAAGTTTCAGATAATGGAAACACTTCTGAGGCTGACAGTTCTTCTGAGCCCTCTCAGATTGAGTCTGATGATACAGAAACCAAGCCTAAACAATTTGGAGTCACTGAATCATGGAAAAGGAGGATGACACATCTGGCAAAACTGAGTGAGCATGCAGAAGGGACAAGCAGGAGGAGGTTGATGATGCTGCAGAGAACCAAAGTGCCTTGAATATTTTCACTCTTTTTTTTTTCTTCTCTTTTTTGTAAGTAGTGATTTCTTCTGCTTCTTCTTCCTTTTTTTTTTTTTGGTACATTTGATGGTGTGTTATATAAGAGGGAATAGTTGTTCTCCTTTTTCCAAATCCCTTCTTAGCGGAGTTAAGGTTCAAACTTGATCCTCTTCATGAGTGATTTCTATCTTTCTTTATTGATGGAAATTTTTGTATGTCTTGGCTTGTTGAATGGTGAAATGAGATAGGAGCAAATAGGAGATCAATTTCCAGCCTTTTCTTTGGGAAAAGTTCTGAATTACAAACATTGCATCTGCGTTAAGAAGATGATAGAATGCACAAGAGAATCGAAACGCAATTCATGGGAACTTGTTTATGATGTTAGTTTTACATTCTGAAAGTAACAATAGGAAAAGATTGCTGTGCAAAAAAAAAAACAATAGGAAAAGATCGAGGAGAACTCTTTGCAACACATCCCGTATTACATTAGTTTTTGAGCTCCAAGATCCTGAAAAGTGTTGAAAGAGTAACATGGCGCATCTCTTCAACTTATTACTCTTTTTCCCCTGTGCACATCTGGGACAGGAAAGAATGAAATCATTTCTTCCAACCAGATGTGAGCCAGGATAGAAAGAAGGTTAAATTTTCAATTTGGTTCTTAAATTATTGTATAGACTTCCGATTTGGTCCTTACTGTTTACTAATTTACCTCAAATTAGTCTTTACGTGCAAAAGAAAAAATTGATGTATCTAGTATTTAACGATGAAAAACAGTAACTTAACGATCGCGTGTCTTGTTATTACCCCAAATTAGTCTTTATGTGCAAAAAAAAAGTTGACGTATCTAGTATTTAATGATGAAAAGTAGTAACTTAACGACAAAAAACAGTAATTTAACGATTACGTGTCATGTTAATAATGAGATACGTCAGTTATTTTTGTATAAAATGACTAATTTGGGGTAAATTAGTAAATAATAAGAACTAAATTGAGCATGTACAATAGTTCAGAGACCAACTTATGAATTTTTTTAATTCAAGAAACAAATCAAAGATCCTACAACAGTTCAGAAACCAAATTGAAGATTTAACCCAGAAAGAATGCTTCAATCCTCAACGACAGATAATCAAAAGAAATGATTTTGACCCTGAAGAATTAAGTCTCAAGCTTTTTTGAGCTTTGAGAGCGTTTGCAAATTTTCGTAACTGTCAAATCTCATTGAATGTGTTAATTTAAAGACTTTGTAAACTGTTGGTAGTTTTGGTTATGAGTCATTGAGAAATGAGTTTGTGTTTATTCACGATTGTTCATAATTCAAACTAGTAATTTTGACAGCTTCATAGGCTGCGTAGGGAAGGGATCTCTTTTCTGTTCTCTTTCTCTCTTTTTCTTTTGTTTTTTTCTAAAACAAAATTGGAAATTTACTCCGCAGTAGTGAGATCAGGCCACCACAACTGTGCCAGTCCGTACAGTTTTGCTAGGAGCAGAGGTCTTGGATTCCGATTTCCTAATGGATCTGGCGGAAGAGGACAGTTTACAGCTCTTCTCTTTGGCTTCATCAGACTCTATCTCTTCTTGTCTGCACTCTTTGCTGCAAAAAGGTGTATTTCCCCTGCACAAACCAGATTTCCAAAATTCCAATCATAAAACTGCCAAACAAACAAATTTGAAGAATGATTCCAAATTTCTCATCAATAAACCAGTAACACATGGCTTATAAATCAGAAAATCTCATCTCAACAAACCAAACGATGCAAAATCATACTCTTATATTTTTTGAAAAACAGCGTCACTCAATCCAAAACCTAAGCAGTAGGAATTTGTTTGCAAACAAACTAACCTGTACATGAAGATATCGGAGTTTAAGCCGAGATGTTTACGACAGAGGGAACAAGCGTCGAGGAAGTGAGGTTCATCGTGATTTCGGTACCCTCCGTAGAAAGAAGCCATGGCCACTATTGACGGAGGCTACTTGATCGGAGCAGCGACTGGTGCACGTAGCTGAAATGCACCGACGCTGCGGAGACCAAATCAATTTATGGGAGAAAGAAGAGCATCCGGAGGGGGAGAGTATAGAGGTGGAGGGTTGGCTCTATATAAAGTGCGCTTGGGAGAGGAGCGGTGAGAAATAAGTTGACTTGGAAAGATCAGGTACTCCAAGGAGTATCTTAGTGCGTTACTCTACTCCAATCAGTTTATATTTTTTATATAGTTTTTATGTATAATGTGCCTAATATTATCACGGGGATAAATTTTTCATATTATTTTTTTATATAATTTTCGTGTATTATTAAATGAACAAATGTATTTAATATTATGAATTTCACATGAATTAAAAGAATAATTATTTTAATAACATATCAAATTATATAAAAAGATAAAATAAAAAATTATACAAAAATTATTTTTTTATCATAAGTTTAAAATAAATAAAAAATAAATTATTTAAATAATAAATAAAATTATAAAAAAATAATATGAAAAATTTATCCCCGTG